AGAGAGAGAGAGAGAGAGAGAGAGAGAGAGAGAGAGAGAGAGAGAGAGAGAGAGAGAGAGAGAGATGATGATGATCGAGTGTCCGTTTAATCATGCGTACAATTGGTGTTATCTATGTCTTAGTCGAGCTACCGTAATTATCTTCTACCCTCTACCTCCCCCTTTTCTTTCTTCTACCACGTTCTCTTCTCATGGATCTGCCTTCTTTCGTCCTCTGCGGGGGCTCCCGTTTCGACTTCGGAATAGGAGAGCTATCACGAGGGAACGAACCGGCGGACTAATCAACGGAGAAACTAACGAACAAGCCTGCGCGGGCATTGTTACTGTGGCCTGTTGTTGTCATCAGACTTGTCCGACCGAGGGAAATCTCTGATTTGTCAGACCGAGGGAAACATATAAACCGAGGGGAATATGTAAAGCAGCAAGATGTTGTTCGTTGAATCTCGTCAGCTCCAGTTGGTAGTTGGTACAGGCGTTAATACAGTAAGTCGTCTAATTAATTCATGAGTGGTGGGGATGATTCGAGCCTCGTGTCGCGCTCCCGCTGGTTGTTTCCGGCGCACAATGGCATTGCGGTGGCAGTTGCAAAGGGTGTGGAGAGGGGAGGAGGGGGCGGGGGTGGGGGATGGATATGGTGGATATGGTGGATGAAGTGGATGAAGTGGTTGAAGAAGCGCCAATCGTGCGCACATATTACAATATATATGTTTCTATTTTTTGGTATATATATATATATGTATATAGATAGGTAATACGTGAATGTATGCATTCGGTTCCCAGGGCGGGGAAATGAACTTACCTGCAAACCCGCCTAGAGTTCCGTACGGACGACGGAGGTGTGTAATCTCGTCTGTCTGTATTCGTGCCTCTTGTCTCGGCGAACAAGTATTAACCATCTGGGGTGAAGATTTGCAGGAGCGGGGGGAGCCGGGGGTGGGAGCGGGAGGGGGGGGAAGGTCGAGGTTCGGAAATAAGCCATGGAATTGCGCGCGTGTGGAGGAGAATAAAGGCGGTCGAGGGAGTGTTTTATGCTGGCCCGTGCGTGGCAACGAACGCAACGCGCGGGGCGGGGGGGGCATTGCCCCAAGGTATACTGGTATTTAACTAGTTAGAAATTGCGCGCGCGTGCGGAGGAGTGTAGGTAGAGGTGGTGGTCGGGGGAGTGTTTCATGCTCGTCCCTGCGCGGCAACGAACGCATCTTGGACAGCTGCGGCCGTCGGTATGTCGGTAATCTCGGTATGGCGCGCTGCGCACGATGTGACTTGCAGTGAGACCGTCATGTCTGCGTATCGTGGAAGATTACGTCAATTTGTCATTCTTCTCTTGGACTATTTTGCTGGGGGGAATTTGGCTGATTTGAGAGCACTCCTCGAAAGTACCGATAGTATATTTCTTACCTTCCTGCGCTGCGCTGTGTGCCATTGGATCCGTGAAGCAATCAATTGCTACGGTGCATGCTTTCGTCCGTCTGCCCGTACGTCTGTCCGCTTGCAGCGCGCCGACGCCGCCGGAATGTTCATCGAAGCAACAGCGATTGTTCGTTGATGGTGTATCGACTGTGCTATCGCCATCATTGCCATCGTGATTATCCCTGAGAGATATTGATGAATTGCTAATAAAGGAAATAGACTTCTCGTTTATGTTTGAGCAAATGACATTGTCTCCAGTTCTTCTCCTCTCTCTCTCTCTCTCTCTCTCTCTCTCTCTCTTTGTCAAGTTGTGGTTTCTCTCTCCGTCTCTGTCATTGTGCGTTCTTTCTCTCTCTCGTTCACTTGTCTTTCTAACTTGGCTTGTTGCCTCTCTCTCTCTCTCTCTCTCTCTGTATGTGCCTTGGTTTATGGATTCGATAACGTTTTAAGAACTTGCAATCTGTGAATTACCAATTCTACTGTAGGTGTGTAGCGGTCGGTCACAAGGCAGGTTCGACCTGCATGTCCGTCTGTCTGTCTGTTTAACTCTGTATTCCTTTGCCTCTCTGTGTCCGTCTGACTGTATATGTCTGCTTCTCTCTGTATGGACTTTTTTTCTCCTCGTGCGTTTGTGTTCTTTGGCCAATGTCCTTTGTCTCCTAGACGGCTGGATGAAGAATATCACTCTCTCTCTATCCGATTGGTGTGTTGATACCTTGTTCATGTTGCGTGGCCTGAAGTGATGATAGTTCGAGCTCCAGTTGAATTAAATAAGACAGACAGACAGACAGTCGGACACCTCTGCAGACGTTTTTATTGCTCATGTGAGGTGGATTATTTCTGGTAAGTACTTAGTGTCGTGTCTGCACCAATATTCATTTATTTCGTTTTTTTTTTTTTTTTTCATCAGTATCTTTCCCGCTTGCATCTCACAAGTTAATGTAAGCCGATTTGAGTTGAGATGAGTTGAGATGAGGGCCTTCGCTCGCCTACTGTCGTCGAAATGTGCAAATCGAGAGTGAATCTTCCGCTAGAACACGGAAAGATACAGTGCCATGATTTTTGTCTGTTGTGCATGTCGCGCGCGTAGTGGAGCGAGGCCCAAGATAACTTAAGTTGGTACGGCGTGAGGTAAGATGAGGTGATATGCCATGTAAGTTCTTATGAGTGTCTTAATAAATGAAAATTCGCTCAGTGCCGTATCGTGTCTTGTCGATCAGGTGTGGATGATCTATTTTTATTTCTATTTCTATTTTTAACGCAATAATTACTGGTACTCGTTGTTTTTTTTGTTTTTTTTTTTTTTCTTGAAGGACAAATGCTCCAGTCTATTCGTGGGGAGCAACACGTGCTGGGAACCGGGCCCAGCGTCCCATACGAAATTACAAGCACTAAAAAAATAAAAAATAAAAAAAAATAAAAAATTGCAAGCACTGAAATACCGCCGGGCTAATACCCAGTCGGCTTCAGCTGAGAAATAACCTGAGTATTAAAAAAATAAAAATAAAAAAATAACCTGAGAACTATTTTAGAGAAGTTTCAGAAAACTGACTCCGCTTTTCACTTTTATAACCTGAATAAGGGCCTCGCTGCACTACTCTCGAAAAACGAGAGTGAATCTTCCGCTAGAATATGGAAAGATACACGGCCATGATTTTTGTCTTTTGTGCATTTCAAGAGTAGTGCAGCGTGGCCCTAAGTGCTGGGCTTCGCTGCACCTTTCTCACGCCCGTTTTTTTTTTTTTTTTTTTTTTTTTTTTTTTTTTTCCCTTGTGTTCGACCAGTGCCCAGACTCTCGGTATGGTGATGAAATAATAATAGCCTTTCACTCATCACACACCCTACCCGCCCCCTGATGATTACTCGTTAGGCACCCTACCCGCCCCCTGATCACTTACGGGTCTCCTTGTCCGACCTGCAAAACTCGGCTCTCAATTTGTTTGTACTTGGCCGCTTGCACTCGCCGAAACAGAAATCGCTCGCCCACCAAATCTGATACCCTCTTGCCCCGAATAGAACGATCGGTCATTCGTTTGTATACTGACTGAAAGTTGCCCCAAATACAGTAGCCGCTATGACGACCGTGCTTTCTATTCGAGGGAGGGCGCTACCGACTTCCCCCAAACATAACGCAATCTAAAAATGAATGTATACAAGCTATATTTGCGGCCAGACACAGCCAAAATAAGGGTGCGTTGTGTTCGGGGGAAGACGCTAGTCGTCGAAATGCGGACTGGCGACTCCACAAAACACCTCATTTCACCGACACGCCCCGAGATCGAGCTCCACTGCAGTCAAATGAAAAAAAAAAAGACACTTACCTGGGCTGGTTAGTCCGATTCCGATGATAATACCTCAAGGCCATCGCCCCTTAAAAAAAAAATAAAAAAATCAGAATAACTCCATTGCATTCATATCGGTCCAGGTTCATCGGGATTCGAACTTGCATCTGTATTTCAACAGTTGGTGGGTGTACCAGCTGAGCCAGTCCCGTTGGTACGCCCTTGCACGTTCTAGGTAGCTGCAGATGGATGCTGGAGATGCATTCTCATGTGTTCGCACTACCTTCTTTCCCCGAATATAACGTACGCTGTATTGGAGGCATTTTCAGTCTAGATACAGCTATAATGACCTTACGTTGTGTTCGGGGGAAGAAGGTATGTGAGTGGTGTGGTGGGGCTCCTCGTCCCCGGGACACTGGTACAACTTTTTTTTTTTTTTTTTTTTTTTTTTTTTTTTTTTTTTTTTTTTTAATTCGTTGTTGTTGTTGTAGCTGTAACAGCTCCGGTGTGGGTTCGAACCCCATAGGACTCTGCCTGTGACGCACTTAGTGCCAACCAGACCCGGTCCGGCTGTGATAGTCCGCTTGATACCTTGTATCCGTATCAGAAGGGTGTTAGGTGAGAGTATGAGAGGGAGGTGGTTGTCTGTGGTGTGGGGGAGAGTGTTCGGCCTCATACACTGCCGCTACTCGATGGGGGGTGGGGGGCGGTCGAGCTGTGATAGTCTGCGTGATACCTCTGATTGGTATCAGTAGGGTGTCTGATTGGTATCAGTAGGGTATGTGGTGAACACGGGTGTGAGTGGGTTGTGTGCGGTGTGTGGGGGAGTGTTGGCCTTAGACACTGCTACCATTTGATGGGGGGTGGAGAATGATGAAAAAGGGAGGTGCAGCTACTGGCAAAATGTTTGGGCTTTGTGTTTGCCAGACCCCGACTGGCACCCCCCAACCCAACCCTGTACTACCCGTAACCACTAGGGCAAGGGGCAACATGCAATATCGTCCTTCACCGTTAGAGGTAGCTATGCTTCTTGCAAGGCTACGCTCTACATAGCCTTAGGAATTGCCTAGCCCGGGTGCCTGCAACCATTATCTGGTCATGTCACCCTGCCAATATGGCAATGGGTGATGGTACTGGGTGGTTAACACTAGGGTAGGACAGGGGGGGGTGGGGGTGCGCCAGGGCAAAATGATAAGAGGAAGGGTGGGGTGGGGTCTTCAGAGGGCCAATATGGCAATGGGTGATGGTCCTGGGTGGTTAAACCACCAGTACTTGGGTGACGCCTTAGCGTTAACGCTACGGGAATTTCGCTACCGGCGGGCCGTCGATAAATCGTATCGACAGCCCGCGCCGCTTCAAAAAAGKTGCGGCCGGCACGGCGCGCAGTGCCCAAGTACTGGTGGTTTAACACTAGGGTAGGACAGGGGGGGTGGGGGTGCGCCAGGGCAAAAGGATAAGAGGAAGGGTGGGGTGGGGTCTTCAGAGGGATTTAGCTGGACAACCGAGTGACCGAGTGCTGTGGGTAACTGTCATTGGTCTAGGATCCCACCTTTACAACAACCTGGGCTTTTCTTTAAAAAAAAAAAAAAAAAAAAGGAATAGGTAGGTATTGAAAAGGCAAAAGGATTTGAGAGAAAAATAAAGTGTAGGGCGCAGTCACGGTTTTCAGTTTTAAATGCGTTTCGAGTCACATTTTGCGAATGTTGCTCCAAAGCTACCGTCTTCCCCCGAACATAACGCACCCTAAAAATGAATGTATACAAGCTATATTTCCGGCCAGATACAGCCAAAATAAGGGTGCGTTGTGTTCGGGGGAAGACGGTAGGGAAATCGTGAATGTATACAATCCGGCTTCAGGGTTGGGTGGGGATGTGTTGTATTCCAGGGATGCCCAGCCCAAAGTGCGTTTTAAATTGCAAATGCGATTGCTCCATAGTCACCCCAAATAAAAAATAAAAAGTTGTGGGGAGTGTAATGTGCTCAGCCTGGGAAACGGGTCGAGCATCCCATTGAATATTCTCTGCCCCCCCCCCCCCCCCCCCAAGGATATTGAACTGATCACAACAGATACTACGCTGGATCTTAGTAACCAAAAGGCCGAAGATTTGAACTGCATCACCTTTCTTTTTTTTTCTTTTTTTTTTTCCTTTTTTTTGTACAGACATCAGATTGTTGCAACAGGCCGCAGCATGACCCGTGGTGGGAGGAGGGAGATGGAGCTACACAACTCCCAGGGGCCTAGATTGGTTGCCTACTCAACAGCCAAGATTAGGTGGTGAGAATTGCATCAGCTTTCACCATTGATTGCCCAGGGTAAAGCCCTGGGGGGTTTTGACTGAACAACGGTCCCCATGGAGGAGCCATGCCATCGAAGAAGAATAGTATCTTCAGCACAAAACGCGGGCAATCCATGCCAAGCGTTTTCTGTCGAGTACCGTGTTCCCCCGAACACAATGCAGCCTCATTTTGGCTGCAGAGGACCGGAAAGATGGCTTGTATACATTCATTCATAGAGCTACTATGAGGAGTCCAGACAATTTCAGTCTGAGAATACCAGCACACCCTTGCCACATCTCCCTGCACTTCTGCCACCTCTCCATTTTCTGATATGGAAGCCATTCCTATGCAAATTCCCTGATTAAACCACCAGTATGTGTCCCGGCCATTTTTTTTCCAATGTGCCTGGCATGCTGCGGTAGCTTTCGGCGGTCGGTAGCCAGAGCAAAATGGCTGGTGGTGCCAGCCAAAATGAGGCCTGCACGTGCAGGGTGTGCTTGGATGTCCGGGCAAAAGTGGCTCGGGAAAAGGAAATCAGCAACGGTTGACACAGGAGGTCGGGGAGCTAATGTGGCAGTAGCGGGATGCAATTGAAAAAAAAAAGAAACAATTGAAATTGAACATGCAAAGAAAAGAGAGAGAGAGAGAGAGAGAGAGAGAGAGAGAGGAGAGAGAGCACCACGTCTCGTGCTCTCTCTCCCTCTCTGCTCATTTCTCATGGGAAGATTCATTCCATGAGAAATGCAGAGACTCTCTCTCTCTCTCTCTCTCTCTCTCTCTCTCTGTGTGTGTGTGTGTGCGCGTTTCTCATGCGCAAAATGTGAATGAATCTTCCCTGTTCGGCATCGGCTCATTTTCGAAGTTGGAGGAGAATGGATCTTCTGCACTTACCTGGTAGCATTCTTTCTCATTTTCTGCATTTGGATCTCTCTCTCTCTCTCTCTCTCTCTCTCTCTCTTCAGCTCTTTGTTTTTCTTTTTTCATAGTCAACGAATCTCGTTATTTTTCTTTCGTTTTTCTTTTTTCGTTTTCGTGAAGGGAGACATTTCCGCTACTGGCAGCTCTAGGCTCGGCAAGGCTCAGCACACTGATAGTAGGAAGTTTGGGCTTGATAGCTGGGAAGGGTACTGGTGACCAGACGTATGTCCAAGAAGTCCCAGTCAACATGGTCATATGCTTTCTCAAAATCAATAAACAGGATGTCCACTTGGGCCTTTCGCTGGCCTCATTGACTAGTAAAATATTGCCTTGGATGTTGCGGTTTGGCATGAATCATGTCTGGTCGAGGTGAATCAGTACGTTTATAATGGCAGCAACCTATTGGTATTGGTTACTGCCTCGGCCACCATTTTGTACATTTATAGTGGCAGCAACCTATTGGTATTGGTTAGTGCCTTGGCCACCATTTTGTAAGGCACAGGGAGGATGGTTATGGGTTTGTAGTTTCTAATATCCTCCTTGTCCCCTTTCTTGTAGAGGAGTGTGGTGACCCCCTGCCCGATCATAACCCCAAATGATCCCTCCTTTTGTACCACTTGGATCCTGAAGGAGGTCCCAGAACTGCACCCAGAATTCCTTTGGGAACGAGTCAATCCCGGGGGTCTTTTCGTCTTCCATATCCTACGAGGCCTCCCA